TTTCTGTCTGGAGTTTGCATGATCTCCTTGTGTCTCTGTGGGTTCTCTCCAAGTTCTCTTCCTTACAAAAAATTATTAAAATGATATTAAATATTAATTTAGTTGTAGGTCTGTCTCTTTGTAGTCTCTCTCTGTGATGGCCCTATGATAGATTGGCAGCCTGTCCAAGGTGTAGCCCACCATTCACATAAGTGGGATAGGCAGAAGATGGATGGGTGGATGGACAGATGGTCTTCATCAGCTGCTTATAGCTCTCTGCAGTAGATGAAAGCTTGGTTTTGCACCAATCACACTCCTTGATCCATCACCACTCTGTGAGACTTGATATTACAGGCTGACACACAACTGACTGACCCAAACCTTAGTCACCTCGTATGCCAGCTGTACTGCTGAAGCTGGTTTGTCTTTGAGGTACCAAATCTTAGCTGAGATTTGGCCACACACTGCAGAATGCTTGATACATTCATCATAAAAGGTTCAATTGAATGTTAGCTTGTGGTTAGTTGTAACTGAGCATTCTTCAGTGTTTATGTTAAACGCTGCTGGCCTTCTTTTTTTTTCTTTAGGGTCTTTAATGACAGTTTCACCTATCATCTGAAAGACTACTGGTGGGAAATCACAGTTATTTAATGCCTTTTGGGACTGTCACCTTGGAGGTAGTGCAGAGAGTCACTGATCCAGCCTGTCATCATGTGAATCATTAAGGTCACATAGGTCAAGTATGAGTGAATTGCTTTGGAACAGATCTTAAAATGGCAAATTCGGGACTATACTGTACGTGGGCAGTTTTGAAATTCCTTCCAAGGCGATTCAACATCTACTCACACCATGACCCATGTTATCAGCTGATGGCTCATGCAACCCTGCGAATTGACTCTTGTGTTTCTTTTTGCTTGCTTAAAAAAATCTGTTGTTGCTGTTGTCTTCTGTTGGTTAAATGAAGATGGTACTGGGTCTTGCTCCTTCTCAGTATTTTCTGTATTCCACAGCTCCCATCTAGTTTTGCATTTAGAGCAACTGTGTAGGTCTTAAAGAGCTATGAAACAGAGCAACAACATGTTCATGTAGATAATGTGTGGGTGCAGATTGGAGTAGGGTTGTACAAAAAAGAACCCAAAACAAAAAAGAAATAAAAAGATCGATACTCAGATGCTAATTTATGCAGCAATTTAGATACTCATTTGTAACAGTATCAATACCAACAGTGCCTGTCTTCACATCCTCTACCTGAGGCACTTCACACAGTACTACTGGAGACAGGCAGGCATCATTATAAGTTAATTATATTATTCCAAGACTCTAGTTTTTATTTTTATTTTAGTAAATTAAAATAATTATGGTTTACTGACACTAAACTAAAGATCTAGTTTATTTTGTAGTTCAGCTTAGTAAGCTATAATAATTTTGCATTTCACCACACTGCAGCGTTTAGCTAGCACTGAGAGATAACAAAAAGGCATTAACAGCACAAAGTCAGTGTAGAGCATTTGATTGTTTCCCTCTAGGGGCAAGATTTATGTAGATTTTGTCTCTATAGAAGCAAAGGTCAAAGTTACAAAGAAAAAAAGAATAATAATAATTTCAAATGATGTAAAACTGCTGAATAATAATGGATTGGATTTATATAGCGCTTTTCAAGGCACCCAAAGCGCTTTACAATGCCACTATTCATTCATACACTGGTGGAGGCAAGCTACAGTTGTAGCCACAGCTGCCCTGGGGCAGACTGACAGAAGCGAGGCTGCCATATCGCGCCATCGGCCCCTCTGGCCAACACCAGTAGGCGGTAGGGTAAAGTGTCTTGCCCAAGGACACAACGACCAGGACAGAGGGCCCGGGGATCGAACCGGCAACCTTCCGGTTACAGATGCGCTTCCCAACTCCCTGACCCACGGTCGCCCCAATCAAAATGATGTAATAATATATTTTGTATGCTAGCTACATGACGTCTGCTTGTCCAGTGTCATCTGAAACAGCTCTTTTTCAGGTGTTGTATAACACAACAAACTGGATGCATATGTTCAGTGTATCAATGAGTACTTTCTATGTTGTACTCATTTAAATAATGCTTCTTAATGTCAAATGATAATATTGACCAAAACTTTCTTCAGATGAAATATAATTCAGCATGCAAATCCAGTTCTTGATATACTTGCAAGCAAGTGTGGTTATATGTTATTTTTATGAATTTAGCAACTTGGAGCAACTTCAGCTGATAAACCATCTTTTCTCTCCATTTTCTCCGCACTTTCTTGTCATCTGATGTCAGTGGCACCAGAGGAGTGTGTTCACTGTGAACTGTGTTGAGCTGTGGAAGAATGGGAACTTGCTACCATGCCATCCAAATGAAAAATTGTAATAAAATTTTTATGCTTCTTTCTTTGTAAGAACTATTAAAACCTGAAAACAAGGAAACTCTGTCTTGGGTACTGGATTTGTATATATGTGTGTCTGCGTGCTAAAGGCTATTTTTAACAATGTGTGCATGTGAAGTTAGGTAATTGGCTTTGTTACAATGTCCATGTGGGAAGTTTGGATGTGGATGTGTGTGCGAATTACCCAGGGGAAAATTTTCAAAATGCATGAACCGAAGCATAAAGGTATTTATCTGTCACACCAAGACCTATGATTCTCCCCCTCGTTACCCATCAGCCCTATCACACAGCCGACCCGGCAATGGTTACACAGCTGACTGAGTGAGTGGAGCGGCCTTGTTGAACGCTGCTTTTGAAGATGATGCAACACGATGGACAAGCAAGCTTTTGCTTTAAAAGAAATGAATCTGCTGTTTTATTAAAGAGCTCACTGCTTGTCATGCAGCGTGAAAAAATCCAGCTGGGGGATGGAAGTCTTGAGAAACACGATAAAAGACGGGATAAAATCACCTGAACACGACTTCAATATAGTGGCGGTACAGTTGATCCTGGGGTTTTACAAAGGAAAGAGACTGTGAAGTCTAAATAAGCACGCATCACACCTTTCCTGAATGCTGATGTTTAGTACATTTAAACATGTAAACAACTTCAGGCTGACGAATGAATCAAATCAATGTAAATGTATCAATTATTTTAAATTGCAACATCACATTTATGGAACTTGTATAACTCAAGCATCTAAAGGCGTGACATAATTGAAATAACCATGTGATAATAGGCAGAGGCTAAAATTTCACCTCAGTCCAGCTACCTTAAAAGGCTATTCTATTCTATTCTATTCTATTCTATTCTATTCTATTCTATTCTATTATGGCTTAATTTACCACTAACAAGTTTCTCCTGTATTTCTAAACCATTTCTAGCATTGCACCATTTTATTCTTTGTGGGGAAAGTGTCCTAGCTTGAAAGAGCTTCAGACAAGAAGCAGACAAGAATGATTAGCTTTCTTAGCTACACCTAGTTTAGCTGTTGCTGCTGTTTTACTTCAGCTCTCTTGGCTGAAAAGACACAAAACATAACAAAACAAAGAGTTTTTCTTTCCTGCTGTATCCAACTGCGTGTTCATAGAGGGACTGTTGGGGCTTTAAGTTGACTATTGTTGTGATTTGGCATTAAATAAATAAAACTGAACTAAATTGAATGGGCCACTTTATTAGGTACACCTTGCTAGTACCTGTATTGGATCCCCTTTTACCTTCAGAACCGCCTTAATTTTTCATGCCATAGATTAAACAATGTGCTGGAAACCTTTTGTAGAGATTTTGATCTATATTGACATGATAGCATATAACAGTGGAAATTTGTTGCGTGTCCCATTCTATCACATCTCAAAGATGCTCTATTTGATTGAGATCTGGTTTCTGCAGAGGCCATTAGACTCACTGTTGTGTTAAAAGAAAAGCACTGTGAGGGGATTTGTGATCTATCCTCATGGACAAAATACAGACAATATTGTGTTGACAGTGCGTAATGTAAATGGTCAAATTTAAATACAAAGTGCCATAAACTACCAAAAGCCTGTTTCTGGTAACCCAAAATAATTTTAGAAGAATATTCTGAAGAGGCGAGGCTGCCGGGCACTGGCGCCACCGGGCCCTCTGACCACCACCAGCAGGTGAAGTGTCTTGCCCAAGGACACAACGACCGAGACTGTCCAAGCCGGGGCTCGAACCGTCAACCTTCCGATTACAAGGCGAACATCGTGTGTCTAGAGTGGATTGTATTTGCATCACATTTCTACCTGAAAATATTTTATAGGCAGTATTCTGTACTTTAAGACATGCAATGATTATTTTAATTGAAAATAGTAAGACACAATCACCTTATAGTCAAAAATCATAAACTGTCTCTCACTGTCATCGGTTACTACTAAAACAGACAAATGCACTTATCCAAATATCCAAAAGAGGGCATACTATATCCTCATGTGGCTGCCAAAAGCAGTCACCGATACAGAGTGCATGTCCATACTAATCCAGTCTGTGGTGTGCTTGTGAAAAAAATTACATTTGAAGTGAGATAACAGAAAATCTTAAAATTATAATAAATGTGATAATAATACCAAACCTAACTTTGTTTAACTCACCCACATCTTGCACCACATCATTATCTCAAATGGAGCTAAGAGGCAACAATACAAATATGCATTTAATGCCATATTTAAAAACACACGACTTACAGAACCAGGACTTAATACCACTTGTGTAATTCTTCACGAAGCATTGCTAATTCACATGACATTCTACATAAATAAAAGTTGTCAGTTGCTCAGCTTTACAAGGAAACCACACAACCCACTTCCTTGATCCATGTGGCTAAGATGGACTGCAGTGTTAACAGATGTAGAAACAACTGAAACCAAATGGCAGTTGTTGACCTAAGTTTATATTCATGTAGAAACCTCAAATCACTGATCCTTTACAGGTGGTCATCTAAACAGTGCCACGGTTTCAAGGAGGAAGCCAAATGTGAAATGGTCCCACCAGTGACAGTAAATCAGTCTCAACTCAGAGCTTTCCCCTTCAGGCCGTGAAAAAAAATCCACACAGACTGCTAAGAGCACATATAAACAATAAAAGCAACTTTAATGCTGATGTGTACAACTACATGAGATTGGAAGATGTACTTTATTACTGCAAGAGTAATTACAAAAAAAATAAAACGGGTTCTTCTTGTTCTTGTAAACGGGGTGTGGACTAACACATCACCTTTGTTCACTTTGAAGTGTAAAGAGCAGTGTAGCAAGAACTTCTGCCACACAATAGCATCAAATCAACCCAGCAACAAATCACTTGTTGGTTCCAGCAACTCAAAGATAAAGATTGCTGGATTTATTTGTCTTACTTTACAGTCATTAAAAAAAAACGACTATCAGACACAGGAGACTCTGATGCACAGTACAGCTTAAAGATTAGATCACTAGTTAAAAAAACAGCAGACATATTAAGCAGACAATACACCACAGACCCATTCTGTATACCACACCCACATTCCCTGCCCTTAATTTCTCACAGTCATTTATTTAACCAAAACTATCAAAACACATTTCATATGTAATCACCATTGCACATTTTAGCCAACAGAAAATATATATAACTATCAGTTTTTCAATTGGAGATAATCTCATTACAAGTCTCACTCACAGAGCTTACAGTGAGCATAATGCATACCAAAATCCACAACATCTAGGTTTGCATTTGAAATTGATATTTTTAAAAATAAATTTGGAACTAAGCATATGCTAATGGAAAGTTTTAATTTGGAAATAACTCAAAACTAATCAATTCCTTAAAAAAAAATTATATCCTGTTACATTCCATGCAATGTCCACTGCACCTAAACTCAGTCTACTCTTTAAGCTGAGTGAACATACAACTATTTTGTAACTCTCCCAGATACTCTCATTTGCTGTTAAACTTGACATCATCAAACTTGACTATCTTTCCATCACGAGTTACCACCTCGGTCTGCTCCCATGAACCCATTTCCCCGTTTTTCTCCTCAAAACGCCGCACCACCACCCTCCCTGTCGTTGGCAGGTTGCAGGGAAGATCCTTGGCAGCTTCGTGTAACAACTTCATTTTCCTGAGGTCCTGTGCGAGTTCTGATCCACCTTTCGGCGCCAGATCGTGATTTTTGTTCTTGTCCTCTTGCCTCTGTGGGGAAGGAGGAAGGTGCACTCCAGTCCGAGGCAAAGGTTTTATCTCTGGTCTAGGAGAACGTTCAAATATCCGCCCTGTAGGCTTATTCATAGGTGACTGATGTATGTCAAACTTGTTTAACGGTGATGGATCCCTGTTAAGTGGAGAAATACCTCGGTTTATCGGTGATAATTCCCTGATTAGCGGAGATGCAGCTCGATTGATTGGTGATGGGTCCCTGATTGGCAGATGTGCATCTCTGTTCGGAGGTGATGGGGACTGGTTTCTGGCATTAAAGTGAGGTGTAGGTGGTTTAAGATGATCTTTTTGAATGGGTGTGTTGGTGACAATGCCCATTCCTGCAGCTCTTCGAATATCACTAATGACCCCGCCCATAGAGGCCCTCAGAGATGGATTCTGCTCCACCATCCTACACACAGCAGGGCAGTATGGTTGGTCCTTTAAAACATCCTTGATTTTGTCAGGACAGACGCTGGGTGTGTACAGACGAATCCGGGCACAGAGCTCAGCTATGATTTTTCCCATGGCCCAGACGTCTGAACGCTGATCTCTCTGGCTACCCCTCTGCAGCACCTCAGGAGCCGAGTAAGCCTCGTTCCCCATGTCCATTGCAGAGTTTAGACCACGTTTGAAGAACTTGGCCAGTCCCAGATCAATAATTACTGCTCTGTTCGTGTTATGCTCCACCTAAAGAACAAACATTGTTCAGCAAACATTAAATATTGACTAAAAAAAATACACCTCATACAGCTTTATACGGTGGATAATGTGCAACCAGCTTCTGCTCAGAGATAGTTTCTCTGAAGAGTCTGCACAGAATTACCAGCTTTTCTATTTATTGATTTTTTTTATTATTTTTATCTGGTTCTGTTGATCTTTAGCTGACTGTCTTTTCAAATGCTTGTTTTGTTGTTAAAGCATTTTGTAATCTTGTGATTTTGAAAAGCGACAAAGAATATGGGATGGTGTTTTTTTGCCATGATCAGTTTTATGATACCAGCCACACGTATGTCTTTAAAGTTTTGAGACAAGTATATGCGTAACGAGCCATTCGTAGTTTCACTGTGACAGACGCATGTGCTTTGCCCTACATTACTTAATCTCTGAGACAACCAAAGCTTGCGTAAGTTGACTTTGACATTGCAAATAAAAAAGCAAAAAACAAACAAATGACAAAAACTTCTTTACCTACCAGAGGGATAAGACTTATTCAGAGTCGACATATGCTCAAATCTGCATGTTAAAAATAAAAATTGTGATAAAAAAATCTAAATTTCCACTCACCATAATGTTTTCAGGCTTGAGATCTTGATGGACAATGTCTCTGGAGTGTAGATGAAGCAGCCCTTCACACATGCCGACAATGATTGTGCCTTTATTAGCTGGAGTCATCTGTGTGGTAAAAATAAATATGAGACCAATTTTAGGACGACCAGGGTCACATTGACTTTCATGCTTACCAGAGTTGGAAATCTTTAAACTACTTATTAAAGTGTGAAATAAATTAGGCAATTGCATGCTAAAATACATAAAATGTTACACAACAGAAGATAATAGGTAATATTACAACAGCAATTGTTCTTGGTTTATACCCTACACAAAACACACAGCAAAGCAAAGGAGTCAGTCAAAGGGCAGTGGTGACCTGCAAACCATGCAAACAATTTTTCTTAATTTCAACTTTCATTTCTTTTGTCTTTTTTCTAGTAACCTCACCAATATTTTAGACTTTGACGCCTTGAAGATGGTGGTCTCCAAGTCCTCTCCGAAGACAAACTCTAGTGGAATGATCCATTTTCCATCTTTAAGAATTATTTTGCCCAGAAGCCTCACTATGTTGGGATGTTTTGCCTTGCTGCAGATCAGTGGTAACAAGTCATGGAGAAAAGAAGATTTTGACAAAATCAAAACAAAATAAACCGGGCGTTTTCTTTTTCTAAAACATTCAAAACCACCTGGATCATCTAGCATCAGGTGAGGGAATTCTGTGCAAACATTCAGGTTTTGATTCAGAGGCCACTAGATGAGTCAGGCCTTCAGGCCACTCTCATGAAGTCGGTTTCTAGTTGTATTGATCAGATTGATTAATCAGAGACATTCACATCAGTGGCCTGCTGGAGATCATTTTGTAGGTCTCTGGCAGTGCTCATGCTACCAGTAGTGACACTGACCCTAGCTAAATGCAAAACTTGTGAAAGAAAAATTGGTCAAAAATGCTAAAGAGGAAAAAGATGTCAGTGTCCTCCACCTGTAAAACCACTCCTGATTTGGGTGTTATCTCATTGTTGCTCCTCTAGTAAAGCTGTTGTTAATGTCATTAATACTACAGCAGCTGAAACTGATTAACAACAACCTCTGCTACTTAACTGGCCATATCAATACCCCAGACGTTTAATTGACTTCATGCTGTACTCTTATTAAATAGTATTACTTTAATTTTTTAGCAGTTAATTAACACATAGTCAAGACCACCTGATGAAGATAAAACAGAGCATCAGAATAGAGAAGAAAGTTGATTAAAGTACATTTGAAAATGGGGTGGTTGGTTGATGGCAGTGTTTCAGAAACTGCTGATCTACCCCTTCTTTAAATGCCTTGTTGATATCAGAGGCCTAAGGAAAATGGTTCAAGCTGGCAGGTAGGCAACAGAAATTCAAATCATGAGCTTGCTTTGAATAAGTACCTGGCAAGAGTGGGAAGGGAAAACTCCCTTTTACAGTAAGAAGAACAAACCTCATAATACTGCCTAGGTAGGTAGGTAGGTAGGTAGGTAGGTAGGTAG